CCAAGACAGACCTAGACCTTTATGACGCGATCTGTCGAGGTTTCTACCGACAATGTCTTACGTGCTATGCTTGGGGGGCACAGGTTCATCCTACAAGGAAATCTCAGAAGCCATCCTTTTCATGAACTGTGCATTCAAGCAAACTAAGGGATCCAGTCTACAGGATGCTATGAGGGCTACCTACACCCTATGGGTCCTGCAAATGAGTGCATAGACGGATTACTCGTTTGACAGTCAAATAGATTCCAGAAGGAAATCCAATGCGAGTCTACCACTAGATGTGTTGATCAATAGCATTTGCAGTCCAGTTCCTCATTTTATAAGCCGACAATAAAGACAGCTGATTATGGAGATGACATTATTCATATCAGAACCTCAACGCCCACATTTCTGATTCTGGATAAATGAGAAGTAGGGCGAATTAAAACTTTTGTTCCGAATAGCTTCAGCACCTCGATGAGGTATGGAGGTGCCACCAATGAGTTGACAATTCTATGAACATGAGAATGAACAAATAAAATGATCAGTTGGAACACTGTGGTTCTGCTTTGATCGAATTCTTCTCAACTGACTACATATCTGACCACATCAGCATCGCTGAGTTACTTGAGCTTAATTCCCATCATTAGCAACGTTAGTCGGCGAGTTATAAACGGTCTCCACACTTGTGTGAAGGCTGCCATGACCTGTGGGACCCAAAACACATGACGAACTGATTTCACGTGATTCGTGCTCGTTTCTTGGACAACGCGGGTGTCGGGTAGATGTCAGGAGTGCAGAAATTCATTGAATAAGGTCAGCTAAACCGTGTGCAGATATAGGAGAAGCACAACAAAATACCTGATTCTTATCCAGTTCGCAATTCTCATATTCACGCTCTCCTTCATTTTGGAATGTGACGATAACGAAACCGACGAAGATGTTCATCATGAAGAAAGCTGAAATTCAGATAGTTACTGGATAAGTGCCTACTGGATACTGGAGTTATCCGAAGTAACAAAAATAATACCAATGACAATGATGAAAGCGATGAAGAACAGAGCGACGGCTTGACGGCTGTTGTACACAGGGCCACGGTCTTCCTCATTCGAGTTGATAGCGACGTACAGCAAACTGAAAGCACATGGGATGGGAATGAGCTTATTTGAAGAGATGAAAGCCTGCTCTAAAGGGTAGGAAAGAAACGGCCGCAAGTGAAATGACAAGGAACAAAAGGCTCCCAAAAATGGCATATGGGAAGAATATCTCGAAAGGGATAGCTCCGGTTCATCACGTTTGCTTGTTCATTGCAATCCATTTCTTACTAGAGCCCTACTGAGTAATCACAATGAATTGTTCTGCTGATGACTCAGGTACTCTTTAATAGAGCTCCTTAAAAATCACCTGTTGCTCTCTTATATTGATCTCCTACTTCTGGCAGAACTAGTCAGCCCTTTAAGGCTATTGCTGGTGCTGACAATGAGAGTAAACAAACCATATGTGGTTTTATTTCTTCCCCCAGTTCCTTCATCTAACATCCGCCGGATGAGTTCTGCCTGTTTGGCCCCCTAGAGAGAGGCAAAAGCCTTACCAACTCCTCTAGTCCTACCTAGCAATTTGCAAATGGGCCTACAATGTGTATACACTGAACAAATTGAATGCCATTACGATTTCCCCTTCATTCGCAATTCGCTTTGCCTCGGGAAAACTTTTTGGGTGAGCAATGGAGCCATTCATTTGTCAGTCAGAGCTAGCAGGGAGGCATCTCTGCACTTTCATTCTAGAACCTTGTGTTGTATAGTTCTATTCATGATAATTCTAAACTGGAAGTATCATAAATTAAATATCACAGAGCTAGAAAGGACAATTTCACCCCCAAAGAAGGAAGTGATTGAATTCAGAGACTGATTTAATATAATACTAAAAAAGGAGACAAAACAGCTGTTATGAGCGTAACTTGGACAAACAGAGGGTTCAGAGTAATGAGGGCTGCAAGCAATCCTGTTCAAAACGAAAGTGCTTCGCCTTCTAGGTGTCACTAACAATAAGTGAACTCGGACTCTCTCAATTCTTTCACGATTCAGGCTCGAGTCCTGGGATGAAATCTCAACTTTGTTCAACAGCAGTTGTGTTCCGAATATCAGGTAACTCACAAAAGCCTCACCTAATAGCTTTGGGGTTGGTCAAGGAAACGAACAGGCACCTTGTTCAAAACCGATTCAAAATTATGTAATCTACTGGGCGACGCCAGAAAGTACCCCTGAGCTGCTTCGCCTCGCGAAAGGGACGAATGGGACGCTACAGGCGCCCGCTCGAGCGAATCGATAAACAACGGGACGACTGGCGATAGAGATGAGGTAACTGGACCACAGGAAGGATGAAGTTAAATTCTTGGGAAGGAGCTGTGCTCTACGCATGAAAGGACACAGCAGCTGTGGAAAAACCGAAGGTGACCAAAAAGGAATTAGAAACACACTGTTCAAGAAAGGGCCTTGTTGTGCGATCGTTACTGTCAGGATGAATTATTACAAACTATCAGAAGTGAAAAATTTCTTCAGGAATTCTGTGGTACGTAAATAGCCCCAAAAACTGTGAAACATACTCTGGCCATCCTTCGAATGTGGAGACGACGAATAGTGACACCATTGCATCACCGACATTATCGAAGTTAAAGTCGTTGTTAGACCAGACTCGCTTCTTTGACACGGGTTTCGTTGGATCGCCGTCTTCATAATGGATGTATTCACCTCTGAATTAGAGAATTGGACAGTTGTTGATTCAAGAAATCCCTAAAGGTTGTAGTGGAGGGCGAACCAACCTGCACTCAGCTTCCGTCATTTTAGAGAGATCATTACATGAGAAGAAAGTTCCTTTGAACAGTTGTACGCCAATAATCGCAAACATGAACTGGAAATGACAGAAATAGGAATTTTTGGATATTTTTTTCAATTTTTTGCTTACATGGATAACTGAATAGATGAATAATAATAAAAAACTACTGATAAGTAAGTTAGAAAAACGATGACGGACTTACTTGAAGCATAAACGTGACCAACATAATATTTCCGATGGTTTTCACTGCTACAATCACACATTGTANAAAAAAAAACTACTGATAAGTAAGTTAGAAAAACGATGGCGGACTTACTTGAAGCATAAACGTGACCAACATAATATTTCCGATGGTTTTCACAGCTACAATCACACATTGTACAACATGTTTGAGACCTTTGGCTCGATTGATGGCACGAAGTGGTCGAAGCACACGTAACACACTGAAAAGTGTAATTCAGGAGCACCAGGACATAACGACTTACAAAACGAAGATCATAAAAGGGCGGTTAGACTGAAATGGAGGTGTGTTCCTAAAAGGACTACAGGAAAGCATTGTCCTATGGGCAGAAATGCGTTAAGACTAAATAAAAGCATTGGTCCCTGATTTCAGTAGTCTCGAATAGTCGAAATTCTACTTACCGAAGGATCTTCACAACAGAGATGGCGTCTGATTTCAAAACGAAAGACACTAAAGAGACGGCGACGACGAGGATATCCAGCAGATTAAAGGCATTACGGCAGAATGAGCCTTTGTGAAATACGAGACCAAACACGACTACCTAGAAAAAAGTAACTTTTTATGTATTAAAATAATTTGTTATGAACTTAAGCAGGAGTGGTTATGGGTAAGCACGCGGTGATTATATTTAGGGAGGGACATGGATGAGCTCCAGAGGCAAGTACGCGTTTCGAGGGCAGTGCGCAGTCTGAACGAAAAGGCTTTTGAACTTATCATCATTCGCACTTCAGTAAAAGTTGGTTATTTACATGTGAGGTGTAGGTAAACAAACGAACAAAAAATAGCTTTACCCATCGTGGGAAGTTTGAGGGACACAGGAATAGACAGGAAAATGTTTCCAATGACAGGCAACTTTTAGGTTCTCTGTAGGTTCATTAAAGATTAATGTCCTCCAAAGATTAATGCCCCGGAGGTGGGAAAAAACTTGATTTGTTTGCACATTTTGCATAACGCCAACATCGAATAGTCAACATCAGTTTTCCGGAATACTATTTCAATGCATAATAAATGTTGATGAAGATTAAATGTGCTGAAAACGCATCGGGAAGGGATTTATTCATTCCTTTCTGGCGTTCTCAAGACTGATCTGATGGAAAAACCAGTGTCCGACTAGAAAATTTCTGATTCCTAATGTCCATTCGTAATTTCCACGCAAACACAGCTGCAGCAAATGATTGACCTACTCCGCAAAGGGTTGCACAAGTAAAAGGACCCCTGGAACGTACACGTATGGGCAATACGCAATGGGCATGCCAATAGATAGGTCCCTCGACGGCAGCTCCCGAACTTTTAACAGCATGTTGAACCAGTTGAATTACTTGTAAGTAGAAGAAACTCAGCAATAGAAAAGGCAAAATGAATGGTTCTTTAACCGGGAGGGTCCGTTCCCCTCGACTTCTTCCCGAACACCCCCTTGAAGATATTGGGAAGACATCATTTCAATTTCAAGCCAACATATTTTTGGGGGGTATTATGAAACCTCAGAGTCATCAGTCACCATGGAGACCGAGAATGACGGCAGTCGAAGTGCGGAAATACGCCATTCTCCATCTATTTATAGAAACTTTTGAGAACAAAAATCAAAAATAACGGAAAGCACCTTTAATGTGATCTCTATCGTGAACACAGTCGTGAAGAAGTAGTCGAAGTAGTTTAGAATCTTAAAAGAAGAAAATAAGTAGAAGAAAAGAACGAATTTCGGAAAATAATCCAAAAAAGTCAAAAGAAACTCAAAAGTAGCGATATTTTTGTATCGGAATATCTTTTTAAAGAACAAATGGAAATACCGTATTTCGTCTTGAATTCGCTTCAAGAGGATCTTCTGCAGCTAACATGGCGGACGAGACGAGGATACAGACCAGAACACTGTTGGTGAAGTAGGTATGGTTGACGATCTTATTACAGAATACCCTAAAAATGAAAATATTGGGGCCTACTGTGTGGCTATTTGATTGGCTACTATAGAAATCACGGATTACCTGAATGGATTAGTGTGGCTGAGAATGAACAATGAAGAGGCTTTGGGGATCGGTTTGTGTGGTGTGACTGTAGGTAGCTCACTCATACGTCGAGGACGTGGTGTTACCAGATCCTCGCCGGGTTCCTGTTCTTCCATATCCATTCTGAAAATACTCCTTCTTATAAAGTAAGCTTCCTTTTTTATCACTTCCCTGACTCAGAGTCCAATTTTTCACAGGATGGACTGCCCCGCCCCAGACCGGTCCCGAAGTCGGAATCCCGAAACACTGGTCAAGGAATCACTCTCGCTCGATCGGACTTTTCAGGGCATTCATGAGAAGATAGCAGGATCTGGACACACCCGGAAGGCCCACTACCTTCGCCTTTAAATGGTTTTCAAGAATTTCGTTTTCCGCTCCACATAGTAATGTACTGTTACCCCTAAAACTGCGTGGTAGCATCTACAAAAGGAGTATATACCGAAAGAGACAAAAAAGAAATTTTAAAAAATGTAGGGTTATGAGTTATAGCTAAAAAAGTTGAGCACAAACGGATGTGACTCACCCTTCACCACCTTCACCAAATCCTTCACCCTCTTCATCGTATTCTTCTTCACCTTCCAGTTCTGCAAAAGATTCCTCATGAGAGAGAGAGCTTTCCCCACTAAGATGAATGCTTCAACTGCACTTCAAACCACTTAGTCTGATTCCTTTGGTCTAATATTGGAAATGAGCCAGACCTTGTTGCTCCTCTTCCTTTTCGGCGTTTGTCAAACTATCCGCATCGGCCAGGTTATCGACAGCGATAGCCAAGAAGACATTCAGCAAGATGTAGTTACCTACAACATCACCGATATCACTCGAAAACCTTTGTCTTCTTTAATAAAATAATGAAAAATTGAAAATAAATTCAAGTGCTGCTGTAGAAAAAAATAGAAAATAAATACAAATGTTACAGTAACCGAAAAGGAAGTGTTGAAGAAAGAATAACCTACCGCAAATAAACAGGACGATGTAGTATATGGAAACGATGACGCCTAAAGTTCCTACACCACCGAACGACTCGATACCATTGTACATTACTGTATTCCAATCTTCACCGGTAAGGATCTTAAGGGAAGTGTTATTGCTGGTTATGAAGTCAAGAGGTTCTAGTTAGACAGTGAATCAGACTATGGCAAAATGTGAGACATACCTGGAATACTGTAAGCAGAGCCTGAATGAATGTGTCGAAGTTGGCTCGAGGCTTTGGCTGTTGTGGATTGAAATTGAACTTCCCACCGAATACCTTCAATGGATCAGTCAATCTTACACAATTTTTTGTCGAGATATCTGTTGACAGTTTCATGATTGAATCTCTCTTAGGACGGCGTTTCAAGCGTTCCGGGCTCAACTACATAGGGTCTATAGCTGAGGGCAGCTATGGTGGCCAGCGGCAAATAACTATCGGGTGACCCTTAGTATCCATTATGGAAAAACCACCTCACACACTGGAGCTAGTAACCCGGAAAAACTGGAAGGGCCGTTCCCTTACACATCACGATGCTCGCCCATCCAGAAGCCCGAGCCCACGATAGCCAATTCGTCTCGCTGCCATTTTTCTGTTAGCAACTACTTCCCCTTCTCTTACAAGTGTCTCCAATGTTTTTAATGTACCAATTCTGTCTGTGAAAACCGGGACTGTTAGTTCGTGAAACTAAAATGGGATGCAACCAATACAAGCTCTTGAAAAGTGACTAGAACATTACTGGTCAGTAACACGAGCCGTTTTGTGATAAAGCCCTTGTGCCAGATTGGGTTGTAAACATATGAGAAAATTCGAGACGGTAGGCCCCAGAGAGACTTTAGAAGCAGCAAGCAAGTGACCTTCAATAAGAACATTGACTTTGACCGAGCCCTCGATATCACCTACACTCAGGAATAACAACAATTGAAGACATGCCGAAGTTGCCCTTTTTGCCAAAGCTGCAGCAGCTGATTAGTCCTTTTACAACCGAAAGTGCAGCATTTCCTGCTAAATTTTAGGGAGCACGTTGTTAAGCTAACTCCGAGACCTAAAGTCCGGGCTGGTCAAAACCTCTCAAGCAGTTTGTTTCGGGGCTTATCCTATTCGAGCCGCAATCCTCCAGCTTCCATTGTCAAACAATTCTTACAAGTTAGCAATCCTGAAAGCTAGCTACTCTCCTGAGTAATTGACTTCACTTTTGCAGTTCACGAACATGCTTAACGTTTCTCGATGGGTTGAATAGTGCTCAAACGGCTTTTATCTTTTTAGGTTCTAAATAAGGCGCCAGCGTCAATGGAGCAGCCGAAAAAACCTGATCTTCCGGATTCCAGTTCGAGTTGATCAACCGAAATCACCACAAAAAGAAGTACACCGACTAGGAACAGCTACTTGATGTATTACACCACCAACTTTATCTTCAGCCGAGAACGCTGACCCTCATAACGGTAGTATGCGCCAATAAGTAAGATCCCGTATCTTTCCTCAGCTTTCCACCACATGCTCGGCATGAGCTAGCTGCCCTTCGGGTGGCACTGCCGGGCTTCTCAAACAGTTTCCTCATGATTAGTTTGTTTGCCAATTTGCCGATGGCCAATAGTTTCTCAGGGCTTAATCGGCTCTTAACAAAGCTTTGGATGAAAAACTGACCTGCATTCCAAGAAGGGCAAAGATGACGATGAACAAGAACAGCAGTAATAACAATGACATAATTGACCGCAATGAGTTCAACAGTGATGAGACAAGGTTTCGGAGTGAAGTCCAATATCTTCAATTCAAATTATTAGCATTGAATTCAGTAGGAATTCCTCAGAGACAACTCACTTTGTAACTTTGAAAATTCTCAAAAGCCTAGCGGAACGGAGCACAGACACACCAAGAGGTTTCATCAGACGCAAGTAGAGCAATACGAATTCGATAATGGAACTAAATTGAAATATTCATAAAAATGTAAATTATAAAAATAATACCAAATAGAAGTTAAAAATTATACAGTGAATATAAAACAATCAAAATAACGAAAAATAAAAATAGCGAATAGTAAAAAACAAGAAAATATTCAAATTCGGTATGTTTGTTAGCTCTCTGCACACAGATACAAGGTAGAAAAGATCTTAAGAATTTAAATAGCACCATAATGGAAAAATAAATGGTTAAAACCTTTAGCATACCAACGCCACCTTCGGATGCGCCATACATTCGGCTTGTCATGGAATTGTATTTCCATTTGAAACTTTATTTGTATACAATCATAACTGCGCGAGATAGCTAGTCGGCGTGTAAGCCAGTGTTTTCGCCCTATTTTCTTGAGCATATCTGATATCACTGATTTTTGAAATAATCAGATGAGTGAACTGGGACGAATGAATAAAGGAGAACTATCCTGGCATGGGGCAATCCCCTTTCTGGGCACCTGTATATGACTACCATTCTTAATTGTAGTATCGTTTTGAATGTGTATGTGGCCTATACAATGACTTTGCGATGGCCAAGCGATGTACAAGTAAGTGCTTTTATCCTCTCAGACGAGTCTGGTACTAGCCACCTAATCCCGGAATAGGAAAGACCGTTTTTGAAGGCGAGCATCTCCAGGATTTGAAACGCAGGCTACGTGTGTGTGATGGTGCGTTTTTTGCTGCTACACGACCTCCAAACTGGGAAAAATGCTCCGAAATGGGAGGTTTACAGCGCGGTGGAGAGTAAGAAACAAATGGTGGAATAAGAAACATTCTAAAAATTGAAGTAGCATCATGCTGACTGAGTAGATGGTCTGGCCTATCTGTTTGTCGGTTGAATTCCGCATTATCTGAGCAATCTTTGGAAATGACCAAAGTGAAATTGCTCCGTGTGGAACATGGACTGCGATTTTCGAAGCATTCATGAAATGGTCAGTCCCTCCTATGACCAGCGAAGCATTCGTTAAAGAGCTGTTCCGGGTTCAGAATTTCGTAATTTGGTTCGAAAGCACCCCTGAGGCTATGAAAAAATGAATGAAGATAAGCAAAGGCTTAAGGGGAAAGACGGATGAGGCTCATCCGCAGAAGGCTGGGCGTGCATTTGATGGACGGCGTTATTTTCAAAAATTCATAACCTGGCATAGGCGGTGGGGAAAATTCGGTGAAGTTAAACAGTGGCCAAAAACAAATGATTTCTGATGAAGAAAACGCGTTTGGAGCTTCAATGCTTTGTTGTAGGAAGGGAGAGAGAGTGGGGTGGTAAAAAAGAGGAAGTGAAGAGAACATTGGATTTATTTGCACTTGAAAAAAATTGAACTTTTTTGTTCTACCAAAAAAAGAGAAAAAACAAATTAGTCACATAAAAAGGATAAGACGAATTAAATGTGGACATATATACCTGATGACAACGAAACAGTCAAATCGATTGAACTGCGATGTTGTGTAGGTGGTAAACCCGAGTGAGTACATTTTCAAAAGCATTTCCAAGGAGAACAGAATCACAAAGAATAGATTAGCCATTGCTGAAAACATTTGTAAAATTACAGTATTCCAACAAAATTATGTCTCTGTCAAAAGATATACTGGTCGATTTTAATGGCAGACCTTCAGAAATCGAAAATAGAAATTGTAGATTTGATGCCTCCAGACGACCGTAGCGCCTTCATCAAAAGAAGGGACAGGGCTACGGTCGTTTGACGGTTTTTGATATCCAGGCCGTCAAAGTCCCAAATCTCGAATGCCATCAAACCCTTCCTAACTTCCCTGTGGATTGTCAACTATATGGATCTGACTTTCATGTAGCCCCGAACTTATAGAATGCCATCTTTCCTCTTTTGAAATAGAACTCCTGCTACTATGGCCAACTCTGCATCATTGGCGAACTCAGCCATGTTTTTTCAACACGATTTCCGGGTGATCTTAGTTGCTCAAAGAGAGCACTTCTTATGGCAATTCGGGTGCCTCCCATTTCATGTATTGTTTCAAGGGGTTCTGGCAAATGGGCCACATGTTTCGGAAAAACAATAGATTTTTTTGTAAATCTGAGAAGTCCGAATAGAATGAATGTAGGCTCACTTTGGAAATCATCGAGCCATTCGCTTTGACCGTAATGTTCTGAGGTGAGCACAAGTGTATTGAGCAACACAAGCAAAATGACGAGCCAGTAGAAGGTCTGACTTTTGACCAGACGACGACATGCCCGCCGACAACGACGATTCGTTTTCTCGAACCTGAAAAAGGTATCCAATATGTGACACTTTGATATGGGACTGAACACAATAAAAAGCAACTCTTCTGCATGCGAAGAAAAGGGGTAAAAGTAGATGCAATCAAACTCACTGTTTTATTCGGCTTCGCCATTTCGACGGTCGAGTTTCTTCAGTACGATCTTCCCCTTCTTCATCGACCTCTTCGCCGGTAGCTAAGAAAGAGAACTTTGTGAAGAATCTGTCAACTATGTCGTTTAAAACTAGATGAACTACCAAATCTAATTTTTTTGGAGGTCAACCCAATACGTCAACCACCTTAGATAAGTCTGTCCCTCATCCATCCTTCATCTTCAAAAGTTCCATTTTAAAAATTCTAACGGCTCACACACAGGGACCTACTTACTCAGGAAGGCACCTCTGCCTCATCCTGGCTCCCATATTACCTTATTCAATCTGCTTAAATGTCTCATCTCTCCCTGATTCCACTAATAGCGCCAACTAGAGTAGAGGTGAACGCTCACTTCCAAATAATTTACCTGCCCTGGGACCCTCTACCGAAGCATGAGCATGGCACGGTGAGAGTGGATAGACATCTAAGATGCCCTGTCACGGTGGTAGCAGGAGGAATGATGGGTTAGAGTAGAGGGATTTCTGTAACCTATAACTTGCACCAAACTTCGAAAGCCATATACTAACACCCCTCTACCCTCCCTCTCTTTCATCTCTTCAAAAGTACTGGCACTCAATAGGCGCTGACTCCCAGACACTGCCGTGGAAATGCTAAGAGTATGGCTGTTTTTCCCAAGTATGAGCCATTGCACTTTGCGTTATTTGGGGGTTTTTATTACAGCAAAATGATGTTTCCTTGAAAAAACTGGAACAAACACATACTACCGCCCCATGTCGTTCGTTTCCGTTCCCATTATCAGCCTGAGATGGCAAGGATTATTACTCCCCGGCAACGGGAGATTCTCTATGTATAAAACATGAGAATGACTACGTTGCAGCAGAGGGTCTGCTGCGGTAAGAGATGTAGAGACTAATACGATGGTGACGACACAACGACGCTGTGATTCTGCAGCAGTTCCCACTCTACGTCCACCACTTCCCAGCGTGCCACTCTCCCGTTCTGGCTCTACCTCACTGTTCTTCACTTTTTTATGCACAACTGGCGGGGTGTCGTAAAGAAAATAATTGAGGCCATCAATCACCTGTCGCCTGTGGCTCTTCCTCTTGCTCGTCATTCACCGGATCGATGTCTTCGGCTTGAGTTATCCAGTCAAGATATCCTGTACAAGGTGTATAACCAGTTGTACATACGGTAATACTGTAAACGACCAACCTTTGAGATCTTCTTCCAATTGTTGCTTTTCTCGAAACTTTTGGAATAGACCACGAGCTCGAGCCTTTTCTCGTTCTTTGGAGAACTCTCCGGACAACACACCCAAAACGAGATTCAGCACGAAGAATGAGCCAAGAATTACCAGAGTTACAAAGTAAATCCATGGCCATTCTCGTCCGACAGCGTCGTTTACCTGAACAAACGGATATTCTGGGAGAATCCTTGGGATATTTCTGAACATTTAAGACTAAAGTGAAGTAAGTTGACCGTCTGAAGTCCACTCAGACGGTCGCCTCTCGCCGCTAGCGATTTCTTCTGCTTTGATTTGGAATTAAGTACCAGAGAATCGCTCGAACGTGGGGAAAATGTAGAACGTGAGAAAATGAGCCCACGTAGGAGTAGGCTATGTAGGAATTCGTATATAGGTATTCGCGTACTGAGCTTTGATATGGAAATAAACTTGAAAAAGGCCTATTGTAGGGCCTGTAAAGATCAATTTTCCAGTTTCCTAGCCGGAACACCGAAGATTGAGGCATTTTGATATCATATCGAGAAAGCAAGAAAAAGGGTATAAGGTTGCTTAACCGAGGTGAAATACATAGATCAGGGGCCAAAGTCTTCGATGTTGGTAAACTCCGTTTTGGAATGTGCCGCCAGGTCCACGTAATTGACTGTCACTAATAACGCAACGGTAACTGAACACATAGTCGGGTCTGACCCAAAAGAGTCTGATGTCGAGAGTTCCCTCTGTAAGCGATGGAAAGTCGAGTTGGCTCACACGGTAGCACCGTCCCACAATGCCTCTGCTTCAAGAGAGATTTATGGACCAAAAAGTCTTGAAGCCAGAAAGACCCCGTATATTCATAGGAGACGTCAAGCAAAGATGGTTCTTGATTCCATGTAGGGAACCTATCACGAGGGCGATTGCATTACTTTTTAAGGTTGTTATGAGTGACTGAAAGAACCAGTTACCCATGATTATCCCCTAAAGCCTACATCGTGAAAGCATCAAAAAGGGAAACGTCAACAATAGCAACAATACTATTAGGGATCTTGGGTGGAAAGGCAGCATTGGAAACTCACCCAGTACATTACATCTGTCCAACCCTCTAACGATACACATTGAAAGACAGTGAGCATAGCCAAACCGAAATTATCGAAGTTAGTAATTCCGTTGTTCGGTCCTGAAAAGAATGATGATCAGTTTGGAAACGCGATGCATTGCCTAACAAGATGCTCTCACCTGGCCAAGAGGTATTCGAGGAGCATTCCCATTGAACACCCATATTGGTTAACGCGTCAGATGGTATACACTGAAACGCTGAACCATCGGTACCGCAGGGCGTTGGGTCTTTTTGTGCTAGCTGTCCGGTTGCCGGATCCACACTGTAATGACCAATACTTTGAGAACAAAACACGGCCACGAAAGGTGAAAACACCGATAAAATGGACGAGTTTCCTCGAAAGTCTCAATTTCTGCCCTTCTAACACACAGCTTTACAGAAAAAAAAACTTAGAAAATTACCACTAATAATAATACTGTAGGCGGAAAACGAACCAAGTGGAGTGTAGTTTGCCGCAGAAAAGCTCCAATCCGATGATGGCATAGATGAGAATGACAAAAAGGACTAACAAAGCAATGTGCAGCAATGGTATCATAGCTCGAAGGATGGCATTCAACACCACTTGCAAACCTGAAAACGAAACAGACTTCCAGTGAGTTCAACTTCCAGAAAATAACTTTTTGCCAAATTCAGATGGAAAGATCGATTTATCGGGTTATACTGCCCTTCCACTATCCATTTCCGATACCGAACGGATGGAGAGCCTAGCTAACCCGGACAAAATTCAGAATTACCGATCCATTTCGGAGGCGAAGAAGTATATAGACGGAGAGGGAGTGTAACGATGAACAGGTTGAGGATCTACCTGCTCATACGGCTGGATTTCCCTCCGACTGGGAATGAATAGGAAGTCTAGCTGGCCCGAGCAAAAATCAGCTTTACTAGCCAAACTCTGCTATACAATGCTGCGCTTCTAACCCATTGCGCCTGTTGCACCCTAGTACTGAAGCAAAATCGCAATCTTGTCGTATTAAAAGAAGAGATGAATTAAAATTTAAACTGTAAAAATCCTTCCAATTCACAAAAAAAGCTGAAATTCTTTATTCAAACAGGAAAAAAGGCTCTATAGCAAAGTAAGCTGAAAAATCCAAACGAAGAAGTAGATCGAAAAAGATGCAGTGAAGAACTTACTAGGCACTCCGGACACTAATCGAAGCGGTCGCAGTACTCGAAACGCTCGTAAGGCTTTCACATCGAAACCTTGGATGTTCATCCGGGAAAGGATCGTACTCACCAGTCTGCAATAGGGAATAGGATGGTGAGGGTGATTCAGAAGAAAGAACTGTTAGAGAAAGTGAAGTAAGAAATTCTAGTATGAAAGATCGAGTCGGTAGCGAAACGCATAGAAGCTTGTGGAAGACGCAGCCCGGAAATTGGAAACGAAGAGGGCGCTCTTTCTTTGGCTACTGTGGCAATAATTTCGAGATCTAGACCTACTGGCCTTCACTAAAATTGTGTTACGTTGAGGGTAAGACGGTCGAAGATGAAGGTGGACCAAGTTCCGCTCCAAAAAGAAATGGGAAAACGAGAAAATTGGTAGTGAAAATTTGGAAGTGATAAAATGGATACAGAAGGAAAAGATAATCACGTACCCAATGACGACGATGATGAAATCGAGGATGTTCCATGCGTTCCGAAGATAGGCGCCGGGGTGACATATAAACCCCAGCGCCACTACTTTTAAAATGCATTCGATGGTAAACACAACAATAAACAAATATTCGATTTGTTCCTGAAAAAAGAATTTCGTGCATGGTGTGAATGTTTAATGGAAACAACAACACTAGTAATGTAAACACTGGAAAGTACGAACATTATACTAGCTCTGACCATAGAAATACAATACAAAAGGTTGATGTGGTGATTTAGTGGGAAGTAGCGACTATTACATGGTACTCGTCCGGTTTAACCGAGCCCTCTTTTCCTTTGGAGTCGGCTTATCGGTTCCAGAATCGTCTGGAAGCCGTTACTTGAACATCGACTGACCAACACAATTCATTTTTGGATCAGATGAGTATTCAAAACGCCCCTACGATTCTGAATGGAAGTTGAGTAGTGTGCGCATCCCAAAACGGGATTGATCAACCCCAGAAGGACTTCAGACTCTAATCTGCAGTATAAACTACTGGCTCAGCATTTCGGAACGTGCTGCTCACACAACTGTTTGCTCGTTGAGGAGATCGAAGTGATGGGTGCAAGGTGCCAAAGAGAGACCTGGAAAGGTTAGCCACTCAGAGACCCACCATTGGCCCACACTCTACCTCTCACCGGTTGACAGTCTACATTTCCCATAGAGCCCGTCCTGGGAACCCGCTATATGGCCCCTGTTTCTTCCACAACTAAGAATTTCAGAATTTCTGTTTTCTTACTTGCCACCCACTTTGTAAATCCTCCATACTATCTGGGCAAATACCACTTCGGAGGTGATTTTTCCTTTCAATGCTATCTGTAGGCAATTCCCTTTTCACCGTTCTCCAAGTCTGTCATCATGTCCACCTTTTCTCTGTTTTTCAAATGATCTCTTTGAATCTTTCCTGATAACCCCTAACCACTAGCCTGGTAACCATGAATCCCAATATCTCCTCTGTTTTCGTCCCCTCAGACACCAATCCAATGTGCATTCGGCTAACACCACCAACATATTGTGTTGCAGCTGCCGAGATGAAATACTTGAGCGCTGGCGAATTGGCATAAAAAGAAAGGCAAATGCATGCATCTTCACAATTGTCACTCCCCTCTAGTGTTTACCTTCTACCGCTCATCACCTCATTCGCCTCGATCGTGTCCCCTCCCCTTTAGCACTTCAAATCTCCGCTCCGCTCCGTTTCAAGCTGATGAGCGGGCATACAGCCCGTCGGTGCCATATTTTAGTCTCAAGTAAATGATAACTTACTAATATAGTATTCTTTGAATCTGAATCCTGAGCAGGGTATGGCTGATAAACGGCTAGCGCTATACAATTGGCACATATCATCAACAAAATAAGGTACTCGAATGGCCTGAAAATGAAATCGATTTGAGAGGTTCCATTGAGGCTATCAGTTGGCCTAGAAGATCTATGACGTCTACTTGCCACTGGCTGGCTGGCTCAGTTGCTTTTGACCGATGACTTTGAGCCGAGAGCCTCTTTATTCCGTGGCGTCAGCTCCGCCTCATCCCCCACACTTAGTTTTTGATACCCTCATTTATAAATGGAAGCGGAGCCTGCTGCCAGCTAGCTAGCTTCGCCAACAATAGCCAACAGCGGAGGTGTCTCGTTTACGGTCTGATTATATGGGGTGAAGCTGACGCGACTCAGAGAGAGAGGGAGAGAGCCTTAATTGGCTGCATAATTTACCTCCATTCCACTACAGCAATACATATTTTCCTGATTGGATTATTCAACGAAAGACACAACAGCGATCGCTCGGATCTGAAATAAAAATGGCCATTAAACAGAGCATTGGACTTGAATTCGAGTCATTTGATATTTTTGCGAAATCCCGTCCCCTCACCGTTCAACAACATTCGACTGCCGCATCGGCTTCCGTTGTTGCGGTCGTTTCTTGGCAATGTCCTGGCCAGTGGAAGCCGCCACCGCTGCCTAAAACATGGAAACGTGGCGAATTTCAATTTGCTGCAGACGATATATTGCCACTTCAAATTGCTCTGAGAGATATGGGAAGGTTTTTCTTTTGGCGGCAGCCATATGGGCTTTCCCCCTTTCAGGAAGTTGTCTGCATTGGATACAAGTAGAAAAAGATGCGGGTAAAGAAGTCCCGAATAGTCAAGGCTGATAAACTGCTCCAATTTGCTGTAACTGCTCCCAGCCCCCAAGCAATAACCTCCCAGGAAATCGCTGATGTTAATGTCACAGCTATATTTTTCCCAATTTTGGATGATTTATTTACGAAAGGTAGTGGAGCCGAGTGAAAGAGGTAGAACCTGGCTAATAGCTCCTGAACAGTAGTAGAGAATTTTACGGAAAAAGGAATTCCCTTAAGGATTCCTACCTTTGGTGGGGATGTGATAAACTACATAACAGGGGGAATGTAAAAAAGAGAACAGTAAACAACCAGTAAACAAGCTCTCATAATAGAAAAAAAAGACATGACTGCTACTAAACAGTAACAGTCAATGGCAGTCGGCTGCCAGCAATTCCTCCACATGACTACGTGGGTAATTAGATTCCGATCTCGACAGATCTATTTATTCGGCTTAGCTGTGAAAATGAAAAGTGATCTGTAGGATTGTAATGTGATAAAGAACCCCCATTCATTCAAATTGCTTGCACCCTCTATCAATTAACATTTCGATTCCATCGAATTCCATTCTCATTGAACGTTTTCTGGTCCAGGTGTGCTCTAATGACCATACAAGTTGTAAATAAAGTACATTCCCAAAATTCAAAATTAGAAACCAAGTAAGCGGAGCTTCGACATCGTGGGCAAGAAACAGGGAGCCTGGAGGGCGCAAGTATGTACGTATGGGTCCGTTTCCGGGGTGGGGGGGGGGGGGGGTGGTGGAGGCCTAAGTTTTGCCCGTAACTTGCTATCCATTGGAACAAATGCCCCAAAAATTTCTCTTTCTAGAAATTATTCCAAGAAACTGAGTTCTTATGCGCGGCTCTCCATGACACCTGATTGCCTGCTGAATTCGTTAGCTATGATGCAACTAAATTAATTCAAAATATATAAATAAACATCGGAGATAAAGCAGTAGAGGGATTCGAAGATGAGAGAACTCGAAATAGGGGAAAAACCCTCTACTGACAGGAATTTCCGGATATGAATAGCTCCGAATAGTTCGGAACAGAAAGCACTGGGTTCAAAGTGGAGCCCTCCAATACTCGATTCAGACTCTAAACTCCTATTCTGTCGTTATGTCTCACAATTAAAAAAAAAATTGTAAAACTGCTTTCTGAAGTAGCAACGTCATCGAAGAGGAAACTAGGGTTCAGTACGTCCTTCTCAAGTATAAGCTTTGGATGGCAGAAGCGAATCAGTGAGTGCCAGTGGATGAAAATGGAAAAAGGGGGGTGAGGTCCTTCGAGTTGGCTCTACAGAGATTTTACAGAGATATGTCACAATGTCTATGCCTTATCCAAAAACTTTCCGACTCCGACCTCTTCCATCTTTCTAAAAATTGTAAATGTTTCCCAACAGTTCAGAGCCGTTCCCATCCTATCCAAACCCTTTACCGAAGAACGAGTTCCATAACGTGAACGGCTTTGCTGTCGGAGAGCGACAAATTGCCGAACCCTGAATTAGCGCATTCCCCGACTGACTCCTTTGCCTTCCCACACGAAAATGATCCATTGAGGCGTTGTTGTCGCGGTAACGATGATGTCAATTTACCAAAAACTATACTCTATCTACCAGTTCAATCACTTGAATCTCGTTTTCGAGTTACCAGTCCGTCAACTCAAAAACTCGGGACTTCAAGCAGTCTGCTATAGATCATCACAGTGTCCAGGTGGCAGCACATTTATTCATATTTGTTCTTCTTCATTTGTTGCCTTTACACAGCGCCATCCATGACAAAAATGATCCCTTCTTGGCTCTTTTTGTCTTAGGGTAGGCGTTGATAGATTACCCAAATTCTTTACTACAAGAAATGGGGTCCGGGAGTAAAGTAGGTGCTTTCGTAGACGATAGACAACTGATGACTGGGGGAACTCATTGTCACCTTGAAGTACTGAACGTTGTAAATACACTCAAGTCAGCGAGGAATTGAAGACCTCAATTTCTTCAAAACTTCTCAGACTAATGACATAAAATCGAAGGGGCATCCTCCCGTACATCTGCTCTTTTCTACGGTACTTCGACCGAGGTTTGAACTTACCCCCCTACTCACTGCACTCAATTAAAATCGCACTTTGACAATACTTCGCGGTGAGTCAGATCAGCCATTTCATGAAAGCATCAGACATCCATAGGGATCAGTGAAACTTAAGGAGTTTAGAAGGAAAACGAAGAAGGCTGCCAGGGAGCCATCGGTGCTCCCAAAACCCTATTCTGAACCGGCGGTCGGTTTAGGAGTAGGATTTAATAATAAGTGGAGATGGCAATGGTGTAGGCAGGCTCCCGGTTTTTGGGTGCCAATCAACCCAGTCTAAGGGATGCTCTCCCAATTCGACTTCCACACAGATTCGTAGTGGTGTATAGAATGCGTGTATGGCCTATGACTTCTTGGGTGGCCATCCACTGTGTCAGTCAGTGTTTCTATCCTCCCAGACGTGTCTGGTACTAATCAAACGACCACAGAGGGAAGGCTTCGTTGGCCTAAACGAGTATCGATCTGGGATTTGCATGTTGTAAGTCAGGCAAAATATGCTGTTCACCTCAATTAACATCAGCACCCTGTACGAGGCACTAGATGCCCCTCGTACAGGAAGTCCATCACCCGGTAGCAATGCCCTGCTCCTGCAAAGCCCATTTAATTGTAGTTTGGAGAGCTATTTACTACTTTCTTTCATCTCTTCTCGGAAGTTTATTTACCCACGCTTAAGCACCCACCATCAGGAAGTTCAAAGCAAAACAACATAAAGTCTGAATAGTTTAGGAATTTCACCATAAGTTGCCCTTAGGAATTCTTCTGCTGTCTGAAAAACAACCTACTGCCATGGGAAAATTTCACGACGTAAGGCCAACCAATAAGTACTAACTGCTACTGAAAACAGGGAGATGTGTAAGTGGAGAAATTATGTCGGTCTTTCAGCTTGAAATTTCAGAGCTGCCCCGATTTTCTGTCCCCTCTGTTGCTCCGGGGTGCTTCTGTCCGCTAATCTTGCCCTCATTTAAAATCGTACCAATGGCTGAGTCACATTTGTTGTCCTAGTGTGTCATTACTACAGCGTAAAGATGACGTGTGTGTTTTGCCCCGGCTACACGAATAACTGAGCAGTGGTTTGGCTATCATTGCAAGCTGACTAAGCCTTCAGCTTAATTAAACCACAAAAGTTCGAGTTCCTGGATCTATACAGAAGAAAGCGCAAGTAAAGTACCCATATCTGCCAGTACGATGCCCACAAAGTTGGAAAATAAAAGGATAAAAGTCCGAAGGGGTGATCAGTCCAGTTTCGGGATGTGACCTTACGTTAAACCTCACCTCAGCATCCCAGCCGGGTATGAATCCGGGTCTGATGAGTTATGGGAACCCAGCAGAGCGAAGAAGGTGTAGTGGCAGTGGCGAACTACCACACACGCACGGTCACGGACCCAAATGCCGGATCGATATCCACCTAAGCCATCCAAGCTTTCCATCCCTCCGGGGTAGGTTAATTAATACTAGACTCGTCTGGGAGGATAACAGTTCATCGGCTGGCAATCGCAAGTCATTGCATGGGCCACCCACGCATTCAATACGCCACTACGATTCTGAATGGAAGTCGGATGCGGGGCGCATTCCTCAGACCGGGATGGATCAACGCTTAAAGGCTTTATCATTTCATGGGTACCAGTATGTGAACCACTGACTTCCGGAAACCTCCCGAACTGGTCTTGTACCATTTTACAGCCATGCTAGGATTGATAACTTGGTAAAATTGAACGATCGAGCTTGGTCAGTGACGGCAGCGCCAGTTGGTGCTAAGCCAGTTCCGCCCAAACATAAAAGAATCGAATAGGAATTAGATTGAGAATCGACAAACCATTTCTTTTGATGTGATCACCTGGCTACAATTAAATACTACAAAACGCGGCATATTACAATGACCAAAAGCAGTCATCGGTAAATAAAGTAAACAACAACAAAAAGAGCATGATCAAATGAGGTTGCGTGGGATTTTGGAACGTTTGCTTGGGATAACCCATGCCCAACAGTAGGTTTCATCCATCTTGACATGACAGGCGCAAATGACTGGCACACCAGAAGGAATGGCTCAGACAGGCGGCTGGGAAGGCAGTAATGGAAACGTGATCTGAAGCCTGATCCTCGTCTGGACCATGTTTTTTTGTCCAAAATTGCTATCAGAGATCATAATGGAGAGGATGAGGTACAAACCGCAAATCCCCACTTTTATCTAGAAAATGACTCCCAAACCTTTTGGCGTTGATGAATCCCGTCTGAGGGATGTGCCCCCGCATTCGATTTCAATTCAGAAACGTAACGGTGTTGTGAAAGCGTATGTAGCCTATACAGCCAGCACGGTGCCCAGCACGTGCACAAGTCAGTGGTTTTTGTCGTTCCAGACGGGACCAATCAACCACCCCAGTAGGGATGAATGCTTGGTTGGGCTAAGCAGATATGACCCGAAAGGGATCTCTCGACCATGCGCGCGACAGTGCACCACCTGACTCAACTACATTTATTTAATTCGAAGAATACAAAAACATATTCGGATTCCCTACTAAACGTAAAGTAATCTATTACTACATCGTCACTGCGCGCAGTTGTTTCTCGTAGGTCCTCTAGGGTCGGATAAATGGACGAATTTCCTACACTGAAAGGCAAGGACTGGGTAGTTCCGTACAAACCATGGAAATCCCCACTAGCCTGTTCTGAATAATCTGAAGTCTCCATCTGAGACGCAGTGGAAGCCGAAATTTAAAAAAGCTTCATCCCATCAGTACGGGGAAGCCCTCCCGGAAGTGTTCCAACGTAGGGGAGACCCAAACCTTTGTGAAGTGATCTGCCCTTACAACTGCAAGATTATAAAAAATATTGCTCAGTCATACATGAATCTTATGTGAGTCTCACCCATCCCAATTGATTTCTTGGGTGAAATGTTGGCTGCTAGGGAGATTTATCCCAATCACGGATAATCCCGCTTAAAATAAGCAGCAATGTTGATGTTGTGGGCTGTCGTGTTATCCAGAGGACATCATGTATAAACTACTAGTAAACGAAGAATAATTCGATGACAGTTAGAACTTTCTCCAGGAATATGTAGATTACCCCTTCAACGATCTTCCTGACCGATGAATCTGAGCATAGGGACCAGAGTCAAGGATCTCCATCGCATTGCCTAAAGTTGTTGCTGCCTCTTATCTTTAACTCCTGCTGAGGAGAGAGCTTCTTTTGGCAGAAGCTACCAGTGGCACAGTTTAAGCCCTACTACAGCATATAGCAGAAGGTCTTACTCCTTGAAAACTGGAGGTTGAAAGGATATTTTTTTTTGACAAATCTGTGATAAATTATGCTCAAATCAGGAAATTCTAAGGATTGCTCCAGCTCCATATAGGAGATAGGTATAGCCACCGTCACGAGCCTCACCCGTGAATTGAATACGATGCCCGCCCAAGCAGATCAAGCCTATGACTCATTTGAGATCGGGAATATGTACCAGATCAATTCGTATGATGATGGCGTATGAAACAGTAAATCTTCGGTAGCAGTCGAATGCATAGGGTACATCCTGAGTGGGACCGTTCAGAGCTGGACAGTTTGTTCCATATTCTCCGTTTTAGTACTTTGTACTCCGGAGCACACAGAGACTATAAAAGGGATTGTGTTGAGCAGTCTAAGCACTGCTGACAAGAAGTTTTTGCCATTTCGTTAACGTTTACACACCTGTGTGTAATTCTAAACTTCCATTTTTTTCTCGATAATATCAAATCGAATTTGTTCAGGGCGTAAGTCTGGCAATGTTAGAGGCTTGTAGATATTGGGGCCCTAGATGGTATCCTAGGTTGTTCCATTTTGTCCAATATTGACATTGGTAGGCATATCAAAGAAACTGAGAGCAATATTTTATCGCTTGTATCCTGATCCCATTCGTTTCAGCGGGTGCGAAGCTTTCAGGGGTGATAAGTAGCACCAACAGCCATCGCCGCCATGTTCATACTGCATTGAAGAAAGCTGTGGTAATCGAATCCTCCCCACGTTTACCACCCGTAATGTGGGGTAAGTAAATTCGCCAGGAACTGTCCATCTGAACGGCAGAACAAAAGATTTGTCAAATTACCGTACCATAAACATAAATACTGTCATCTTCATCTCGAAAGGCGTTTCTGAAGGTGTGCATGCTTTTTCTTACAGCTACGGATAAAAGCCAACTATGGCCGGTCACTTAGTTGCTGGTCACAATTAATTAGTGAACCTGACAAGTTCTAATTCATCCTAGGACAAGCGTGACAGCGGCTCATCGATCTTGACGCAGTAGGGACCAGCCAGGCGCAAGCACAGGATCCATATCCTCACAGCTGTTCGATGTATGCCGAAAGAACTACGTAATCAATTTTGCTGTAATATCCCGAAGATCCCGAAAAACTACCGTTCTAGGTCGGTTCCGGGTATGGGATCTGCTTTCTAAAGGCTCACAGAGAGACACCACGGTAGCTCTTCATACTGGACATCATCCCAGTTTGTTCACAGAAGTCAGTGCCCCACCCCGTCGTTAGCTTCCACTATGATGTTGCCCTTGTGCCTTCCTGACATTGTAGTTTGGAATTTTAACACTGTATGGGTGTAATTGAGTCCTGCATAGTCAAGCCGGGTCACCCGGAATTAACTCGGTGATTCCGACAGCGAGCCTCTGACGAGTGGTATAGGTCACATGTGCAGCCAAGTGCCCCCCCCCCAACTGTCAATGGTACTAAACTCTCCCACGAAACTCCATCACAACCATCATAATTACTCTACTCCTTACCCTACTCCATCCTACTTCTGATGCTTGGTAGTTGGCTTTTCCCTTGACAGTGTAGCCTCAGAGCCGAGGCAAATCCACATGTCATAGGAGTCATTGCGTGCATTTTCTAGTATTCACAAAGCTGTTTACTGGCGAGGGAGCTAGTGTTGTTGTTATTTGCTGATTGTGATGTTGTCTTCCGCGGTGGGGGAGGATATTTGCCAGCAGACAAGAGGCGCATTGATGCACTGCAGTACTTTTCAACACTGGCAAATCGATTCGTTGTCGTCGTTGCTCCTGAGCTGAGGTGGCGGCAAGGGGGAGGAGTCGAAATGAGAGGGTGGCGACCGGAGGAAGCACCATCCTTTTGCCACCACTCAAAGTGAAGCTTCACCAACGAAGCTCAGTGTAGGGCAGCAGGCGACGAGAGCACCAACTGTAGCTGTGTGAGTGCCAATAAGCACTTCTAATGATTCGGACGTCGTACCACCCCGTCAATGTGATCCGGCGCGGGTGGCGTCAAAACAGGTGTTCACTGAAATGGGCAGAAGTGGACAATCAGAGCAAGTGGTTGAAAGTAGGCGGGGCGTGGAAGCAATTGCGCTCCGGAGGTGTGGGAGGAAATCACATTAGTTGCAAGCACGAGTCCATTTCTAGCGTGAAGAAGACGTAACGACAAACTGCAGGCATCATGACATCATCGAGTAGCACTTTCCGATTTCTTAATGTCGGGCTCAGAAAAAAAACCGAGGAAATCGGGTCCATAAGGTCTGGAAGACCTACACCATTAGCTGGGTACCCTGCATTTTCATAGAAGTCAACGTATCATGGACATCCTGCTGTCCGGAACGAACGACAACACGTACTTCCCTGCACAGCACAGTCGAAAGTTTCCCTAGGCAGGAGAAGATAGGTCTGGGTGGGTATTCCTAGTTCCGATTAAATTGGATAAAACGGGACCATGGGACGATCATCATTTCTTCCACCCCATTCAGTTCGCTTAAGGACTGGAATGAAGTGAGTGAAGTCGAAATGTCTCCCCAGTAAATGTTCTATCCACATGAGCACAGCAAGTTCCAAATGAAAGTCGAATGAAGGCCATTTCACGTAGAAATTCCATCGTCTTCCCTTTTTCCTTCTAACATGGTAATCAGTGGGATCTCCAGAGGAGCTCATTAATAATCTAGGGGCTTGTGTTCAGCCCAACTAATTGAATAGCTGTGACCGATTGTTGGTATAAATGAATGGCTCCGAGAAAACCAACACATGCTGGCATCCTCGTCAGGGTTGAAAAAAAGATCTGAGAGGGAAATGAGCTAAAAGATCCACCCAGACCCCCGATACCGAATCTGCCAGGAACTTTCCCGAACATCTCTTATTTTTACTCACCAAGGGACCACCTGCATAGGTCCACCTCATGGAATCGGTTATTCTACTCTTCTACCTCTGTTCGTTCTAGAAGGCTTGGAGTTCTGAACTTTCTAGACGTTGAAAACTATCAAAACTGCCGGATTTCCTCCTATCCCCAAGCCGGCAACACTTCATTTCTTCCAATCATCCCGAAAGCTGCTTACATTCAATCATATTGAGACCATCTGTGAAGGAGATTATGCTGCGTAATGCCGAAACGTCCTCATGCTGCTGCTGCAGCTCACAGGTCGCACACTAATGACCGGGAAGTCGGATTGTCAAGTGGCACTCCAACGTTTCCGCGCCCCCCGCCTCGCCCCGTTGGAGCATTTCCCAATGCTGTTTGTACAAGATCCCTGAGCCAGAATCTAGGGAGCGGATCGGGCTTGAATGCTATCATCAAGTGAATTGGTGCTCAAGCAGATAACTCTAAATGAATTCAGATTACCCCGAATGGCGGCTTCTACCACAAGAACAGAGCAGCAGCTGTTAGAAATGTGGTGCACTGGAAAATAGTCTTTACACCGATCCACCTGTCTGGGATTGATTGTGCGCATCCCGGCTGGAAAAAGTCATCTAGGCCTGGGCATCATGCATATCACTATTCCATGTGTTGAAATAGTACCATTGATGAAATATGGGAAGGAATTAACGCGGGAGATGAAGGTGGCGGTGGGGGATGAGGATGTGAAAGATGAAGACGAGCCCGCTCAAAGAAGATTATGTCAATCCTGCTTCGGCTACATAGCTGGCTAGCATACTACTTGTTGAGACTTTGCAGTAATTACAATATTTGCATGAATTACATGAACGACTCAAGTAAACCATTTCGAATGCATTGAGAAATAAACGAGGAACGTGAGAATGAAAAATAAGCCATCACAAATCACACGAGAGTGTTGCCTGCCCNGGGGGGGGGGGGGGGGGGATTGATTCGACAAAATCCTAGCGGACTAACTTATCAGCCAAGCCACTGGATTTAGAACCTCTCTGTGTGCTCGCCATTGGCTTCTGTTTTGATGAGTTTTTCTAATGAAAGCCTAAAGCACATGCAAAAGAATGATTGAATGAAAAACAGCGACAAGTAATTTTCCATGACATCCTCTCGTTTCTTACTTATGCCCATGCGGACGAGTAACCCGAAGTTTCAAGAGAGTCGCTCACCTACGGAGTGATAGAAGAATCTGATTTGCCCTCCCAGATGGAGAATTCTCGTAATACTGTTCCCTCTCTATCCCATGGTTCCCAATATTCCTTCGCTCATATTTAAGAATTGGCCAAAAGCATATTGGAAAAACTTCCACCCCCTCTTCCTTCACAGCTCTTGGAGACCCCTGTAACCACTAGCGGTGAAAAGCTGCAGGAAAGCTGCTTTCCCGTTTTGTAAAAGTCGAAAAAGGAACTTTTTGAACAAATTAACTTTTTTAGGGATATGAATGATGTGCAAAAAGAGAACATCCACATCTGACGGTTCCGTACAACCTGTTTTTGTACCAGTTCAAGCTATTTTCCACTGTACTCCATAAGAATTCAACCGAACCTTGGTTACTTCCGCAAGGATTCTTTTCATCCAATCCTTCTCGACCTTTCAAATCTTTTTTAATTCCAAAACATCTCGGAACTGTTCAGAAGAAATCGGAATTGACCTCTTATAGATAGTATGAACTGGGAAATGCCTGTAGAATAATTCGAAACTCCATGACTGAAATCCTCAGCGAAATCTTATTTTTTCGATAATCGTAAGCTTATTTTCCTACCCAGCTATTTATTCTATGCCTAGAGGTTCCAATGACCAGGATGATAGCCCATTTTTTTCCTGTGGACACAGAAATTCCAAGCTATTACAATGATGTTCGCGAGCGCTAGAGCTTCAGTAGCAGCAGTAAGAGCGGCAGCTTAGCAGCTGTTGGTACTTTTGGATAGCAAATGGGAGGAGATGAAGGGATGGTTGGAACTAATTCAGCATCAACTAATAGACACCTAATAGACACAGAGAAAATGATATTCGCATAATTACAAACAAAATATGAGGAAATACAAGAAAATGAAGGAAAATCAAGGAAAAAGGCGAATTAGAAAAATACGCTCAGACCGGAAAGTGGGTATTAAACCCAACGGTCCATTTTGGTTTCCCTACCTGTAAGGTTTGCTGCCAGAGGTCGACACGGTCATGATCTGGTGGCTGCGGCGGCGGCTCCTCGTCGTCCGCCGACGACATCATGCTTTGCAAAGCTGGAAAATCGTCGTCATTGAAAGGATTACTTCATACAGCAGCAAGTGTGACTAGTAGATGTAATCAGCGGGGTTTTTGTGGGGGTGCGACAAAATTAAGCTGGCGACACACGAGGAGGGGGTTAAACCAAGACTCAAGCCGCTACTGCACACATTCAATTCAATTGACGGCACGCTTTGCCTCATCATCTTACGCGCATCTCTCAAGGATTGTGCAAATATTGTGGTCTAGAGGAGCCACAGAAGAGCTAAGTACATGTCTAGGAGTGTCTGGGTCATAGTTGGCTGACTGTCCCATTCTTCAGACGGTACCGTACACATCTACTCTTCCATGGCGTGACTCAGGGATACTGTACGCGCCTGTGGTCGCCGCTACATAATTGCCAGGTGAGGATGGGATGGGCGACCAGTAGCTTGCGTAAGCACCCGGATAGCCGTCTGCGACTACTGTGAATTGAACTGTACGCAGCTCCGCGCGGAATTGAAATCATAAAATCGTAACAGACCAAAAGTAACGTACTTGTCATGTTGAGGGCAGCATTTGAGTATTGTGGGGATAGAAATCGAGGGAATTAGGATAGATATAGAGTGTGTGTGAGAGAGAGAAAGCGCGCTCTCTCTCGTTCCCCAGATCGATAAGTGCTGAGCTAGCTAAGCTAGCCAACCAAAAGACTCCGCCCTCACACACACACACACGACGAGGACGACGACGAAGGCGACGACGACGATCCTCCGCTCGCGCTCGTTCCTCGCCA